AGTGGATTGGTGAAGAATGTGTGATTTAAAAATAAGGAAAAGTTTTAGGTTGGCATGTAATATTATTTTATTAATGAATGTGTGGTTAAAAAGAAGAGAGAGAAAAATGTATTTTGGAAAAAATGGGGATCAAACAAGAGCTAAGTACCAATAGGAGAATATGGAAAACTCCTTGTCAAATAAAATTCTAAAATTAAATTCAAGATTATTTGTTTATTTATTTTCATAATAAATAAATCTTAATGGGACAATTGTATATATCAAACAAAATAAATAAAACAATTAAATGGATCGGGTTGAATTCTAAATATGCAACCCATTTTAGTCTATTAAAATTTAAAGTCTATAATAAGCTCATTTGGATTAAAGAAACCCATGAAAAAGACCTATTCTACTTTTTAAAATTCATAATTATATTTAATTTATTTTAATTAAATGTAATTGAATGCTTACAAAGTGATTACAAATTTATATGTAAATAGGATCAAAGATCCATTAAAAAAACACGTGTAAAAGAAATTTCAAAGTTGGAAGAAGAGAAGAAACTCTCTTAGCTAAGTACGGGAACACCAAGAATATCAAAGTTTTCTTCAAATCAAAGCAAATTCAAGTCTCGAAGTCCAATACAAGATCAAGTGTCAAACAAGTAAATTTCTTAACAAATCAAATTTTCAACAAACTTTGAAGTCTAGGATTGAAGCCACGTGAATTCTCGTCTTCAAACTCTAAGATCATTAATCATTGAATTTTGCAGTCTTTCTTCTCCTCCTCTTTCTCCTTCTCCTACAAGAAGATCAACCTCTAAGGTATTTCTCAGAAATATAACTTGTAACAATTTTTGTATTTTAATACAAGAAATTGATGTACAATAAGAAAACAATTAAATGATGGGAAAGATTTTTGAGATACTAACCCGAAGTTTCTGTCTCAAATATTCTATTTCTTTTTTTGCAGACTGAAGCTTTTCAACTGCAACATTTTTATCGGAAGAAACAGTTGACAGTTTGGTTTCTAAATCACTTAACTGGGACATATGTGAAGCCAGTTCTTGAGTAAGCTCTGAGTTTTTCTTAACTTCTCTTTCCAACTGTGCTTCTGCTCTTGAAATGTGGGCTTCGGCTTCTGATTGAAGTTAAACGTCTCTTGAGTGCTGCTTTCTTTAATCAGTGATAGTGCTCATGAGAGAAGCAAGCTGCTTATCAGAGACTATCTTCTCAGAAAGAGCCAAATTCAACTTTT